GCCTTGCTTCTTGTCTACCAACAAGTGTGATCAGAAATTTTTGGTCATTCGCATGGACATCCATATGCAGTTAATCTTGAAACAGCTTTCTTTATAGATATAAATAATTAAAATTCAAAGGGTATTTTTCAAAATTGCAAACAAATTTTGCACACCTCGATTTGTTCAGCATTCGTCGTAATTCGCGCTGATTTTTTACCATTTTACAATTTGTTGCATAAGTTACTATTTGTAAGAATGTATGAAATTTTGAGAAAAAATCACAGTGTTGCCAAATTTAAGTTTAATTTCCCAACTAAAAAATTTAATGGGATTTTTTTGATAGTATATTTTAATTAAATATTTTACATCGTGTCCCTCATACTTTTTTACATAAGATGTGGACTTATGCCAAAGGAATAACCACAACTAGCTTTCATTGGTCTCATTTATTATTCTGATATAATTTGACATGCAGCATGATTAATTTACCTCAAATATTAAGATGGCCTATATAACCGGATTCCAGGACCCCTATAACTGATGTCAATCTGGCCAGATGTCATCGGATATACCATAAACTGATTTCAGAGACCCCATTGTCAGTTTGACACGACTTGACATGTCCCATGATATGGCTCCTTTGAACGTAATAATGTTATAGCAAATCCTATCTTAGAACTCACGGAATAGAATTTCAGAACCCCGGAACCGAAGTTAAACTTGCCAAATGTCACCGAATACACCTCAAATGGTCTTCATTGGCTTGTTTCTACCTATTTGGCATGATCTGACATGTTGCATGATACGATTTCCAGAAATATTACTATGTTTTATAGATCCGCATTCCACAACTCCCGGAATCGGTGTCTGGCCACAAATCTGATTGTGCAGATAAACTGATGACCAATTCGTCAGACAGCAATAGCATGTGGGCATACTTGTGCAAAAATCCGAAAAAACACAGACATATTTGCATCTCTAAAAAGCGATCTACTATTCTCCTTCAATAAAAGTTCAGGTTTATGATATTAGTTTGTAAAACTGCTGAGAACAGGCATTTTCTAAAAAAAAAATCGTCCTGGTACTTTACAGGTTAATGTTTACAGAAAGCAGATAGCGTCAAGTTATTTCATTTTCATAAAAGCTCAAAGCATTACAACTATACTTTCTTCACTGTTCTTGGCTGTTTTACGATTATGTGATACATGATTAAGGGGGTAGTCCACTCTGGCGGCATGAAAAATAGGTCATTTTCACGAATTTTTTTTTTTAGGGTAAATAACAATCAATTCAAAAAAAGGAATGCATGGTTTTGTAAAATGTCCTCTTTAATTGAGATTTTTTTTTTTGGCACGATTGGATGTCTCCTGTAGCCGCTGCACCAGGTTCCCTAGGAGACCTCGAGTCTGAGTCGTCGCGGGGCGGGACGTCTGGTGGTCACACCACTGGAGCTGGAACAACGAATTTTTTGTGGTTATTCTCTGATAGATGACCCAGTCTTGTACGTAGCCGTTTTTTATTTGGTTGAAAAATAAAAATTTGGCGACGTTTTGAAAAAAAAAACAGTCCGTTTTTGTACCCTAAAATTGGAGATAAAGACTAGAAAAAAGGTACGTAACTCGAAAATTCAATTGCCGTTTAAACCGAATGAGCCGTTTCTAAAATACAGCGCCCGTCAATTTTGAAAACATGGTTTAGAGATAATCGCGGCAGCAGTTGGAACTACTAAGACACGCCGTTTCGCCAGTAACGGGCGGGTACTCCGAGCGCTCACCTGAGCGCGCTTGGAGCGTCTGGACACGAGTCCACTAATCGGCCTTTAACTTTGGAACGATGTCACTTGCAGACAAGTCTATGTCAAAGAAGACATCCCAAAGTATTCTTTAAGCCAAAAAAAAAAGATTTTTTGTAATTTCCAGAGTGGACTACCCCCTTAAGTTGAGTAGAAGTGATTTCACCATTTAGAACCATAATCCTAAATATATGTAATCTGTTCTACGGTGGCCATATGGGACTATGGTTTTCGTTTTCAGAGCCGATTTTTAATATTTCGTCGAATATGTGATCAGTCTTGTAAACGGTCACGGTAGTCGACACATTTTCTGTGATAATTGACTGCCTTTGCCTCCGACACTTGCAAAACAAGCTATCATAGTACAGTACCAAACTAAAATGTCATATGACAGGATCTGTCATACGACACTGTCGCCGAAGACCGTCACGTATGTATGTATTTTAGTTTTTCTCATAATAAGAGCTGCTGATGGTGTGCTTGTGTGAATTCTGAAAATAGCAAGCAATGATGTCCTAGTAATAATATTTCTGATCAGAAATGGTTTGATTTACACCAAATTGAGGAATTACAACGGAATCACACATGTCATATGATAGCTATTTTGATAATTTTCTTTTAGCTCGAATGTTATTCTACCGCTCGTGTTGTGTGAGAGAGACGACGGTAGAGCATGAGTGTTCGAATACAAACAGACTGTCGCGCACGACAACGAAGCGAGTGTATTAAAAAACGTCAACTGTTTCAACCCCCGTATGTGATTTGATATATCGCTTAATACAGTTATCAGAGAAATCAAATTTTACCTTGATGAACCATAATCCGGAATTCCCGAAACCGGTTCTACGGTGGCCATATGGCTTTATGGTTTTCGTTTTGAGATCTGTTGCTCATGTCTCGTCGAATAGATGTGATTTGATATGTCACTTGATATGGTTATGAGAGATATCAAATTTGACCACGTGGAACCATGATCCGGAATATCTGGAACCGGATCTACGGTCACCATGGTTATAATTTTGAGATTCATTTGTCATATTTCATCGAGTTGGTGTGATTTCATGTGTCGCATAATATGCTTATGAGAGATAATAAATTTGACCATATGGAACCATAATCCGGAACATCCGGAATCGATTTTTAGGTAGATATGAGTTCTTATGATTGTTTTTTATTATTTTCTCGAGTAACAAGAAAAAAAATCAATATATTTTCGCAATGAAAATTAAAATTTATGATAAAGATTTTAAAAAACACCCCCGTGCCAACACATCCTTCAATATATAACAAAGATGGAGGGGCCTGAGGGGGAGTGCCACCCAACAACTGTAAGAACCACTAAGCGGAATGATGTTAAAAAAATTCAATTTATTCGGCCATGGCATCTCTGAGATACAAATTTTTGAAAATAAATAGTTTGTCCCGGTCTTTTACGAGTTAAAGCAATCACAAAAGTTAAAGGTGACCGAAATTAAGTATAGGGGATAACCATGCTAAGGTAGATCCTAATTTAATCCCTATTGTGAATCGATATTTAAGTTCAATGCCATCTAAAGGTTAGATTTGGCTATAAGCAAGATAATACAATTGAATTGGTAAACGAAAATTGCTAAATTATTGTTTAGATTGGTAAAATAAATATGGTCAACAAAACCTGTTTTCAAAATACTACGTGGCAAAAGATTTCATGCCAAGGACAATATATTTAGGCTTTATCTACGCTCTTCTTCCGTTGAACGTGAACGATTGAAGCTGATGGTTATTCTACCTATACTAAAACTCGTGGGACGCATTTCGTTCAACTTTAAGTAACAAATAGTAATAATGAAAATGACGTCTATTTTTGTAAAAAAAAAAAAAACATACGGGTTGAGCTATCGAGCTGAAAGATAAAGGATATGTCTAACATGTTGGTAGTGATCAGAGATAGCACCAATTCCAGAATATACATTTTCAATTTTATAAATTTCAAATGATTTTCACTAAACCGCTTTTTGTTTTCATTCATGAAGTACATTTAATGTTCAATGTATGGCAGCAATTCCTCGCCATCATATAAATTAACAGCTTATATATAAGAAAGGGTGCATTTTGCCCACCATTGGCATTTTACCCATATTTCCCCTAAGTGAATTCTGTTATACTTCAATATGTTAGTAACCTAACCCATAAAGAATATCAGCCCTATTCAAAGTTATGCCTCTTCATTTTTTTTCACTTATTTGGGACAACCCTGTAGATTTCCATAACCTAAACATTTTTTTTATATACTTGATGATAAGATCCAATATTAGTTGCTGGTATGTTTTTTTCGAAAAAAAAAATATGAAATGTTCAAGATACTTTCATTTTATTAATTTTGTTTTTCGACTCACTTCCATTTCATCAACAACATTCTACGATTCGGTAGCGAATAATCATTGAGTTGGAGGACATTTTCACGATTCAATAAAGATGCCGTAATTAAGTATGCATTCAAGATCAATCGAAAAGTAACCGCCCCTTTTTAAAACATTCAAACGTTCCGGATGTTCCGAATTGGATAGAGAGCGAAAAAGAAGCCCACTTCGTCCACTATGCGCGCTACTCACTCCTCCGGTGCGATGATTCGCTTTCACACTTGATTGACCTACCGGCGTGATCAGTCTCAGTTTTTTTTTCTCTCAATCTCTGGGCTCTTTAGCCGATCGGCTAATGATCACAACACTGAAAAGATTCAATCAACATCAATTTTACCATTACAATTAAGGTCATTTAACTATGGCTATTTTCTATTTTATGCCACTTTTCGAGGCTTGCCTGTAGCTTAATTTTGCTAGTTGAATTCTTCTTTGAGTGTTTTCCTTCGTCTTCCAAGTTTAAAGTTAAAAAAAACCTGATTTGCAGTAATCGAGCTTTCTGACCAACGAGCTGAATTGTTATAAATAGTTTGAAATGAATTCGAAATCTGCTAGAAATATAATTGATTTTTGCCGTTTCTCATATCAGGTTTCATGATAGTTTCCATTGTACTGGGGAAGCTCTGCATAATCATCGTCATCACTGGGATCGGAGGCATGTTTTGCTGCAGCTTCAGTTTGCTCATATTTGAACAGCTTCCTCAGTTTATGCGATGCCATAAATTCTCGTTTGCTTCCATTGCTCGTAAATTATAACACGCTTCCCGCCCCCGGTAGTTACACCTATTAATTAATTAATCGTTTCTCGTTTTTTTGCTTCTTTTCAGGCATTCCAATGAGAGCACCATGGAACTGCAGTCGATAGTCTTTATTTTAGCGCACTTTCTGGTAAGTACCTTCAACGGAAATCCATCTTCTCCAAGGCACATCAGCTATGGATAAAATGCATAAGAAAATAGTTTTTGATGCCGGCTTTATCTGTGTTCCCTAACGGTAGCTGAGCAATAATATTTATAGCCTAGATACAAACAAAGCTCCCGGAGATCATGCGACTCCAAGTCCGGAAGAGCCATAAACTGGCGAACGATAAATGGCCTTACACAAAATAGCAAAAAAAAGGCAGCCGAGCAAACTGGCATAATCAAAGACCACGCGAGACAAGTCAGCGGTGAAAGGAAATGTTGTCGTGGTCATGCCATCAGCGTCCTCGATGTGGACTCGTTGTTTATGGACTCTTGCCGTGGCGCTGGCTGCAATGTCCGCAAGTTTTCAACTGATCAAGCGGCACAGCTCGGCGACTTTATAATGTAGGGTGAATGGCTATCGGATGGAGGACGTAGCAGTTATAAACATAGTTTGGTATTTGATGTGAACCGTACCAGCAGATAGAAGTTGCAGTGTAGAGACACCCCCAGCATCCTAAAATCCCATTCACCGTCGATGTTAAAACGGTCGTTCAATCGAGAAAAAGCTTCTGCAGAGAAAAGCGTACGAAAACAGTTCACTCCACCATGATAATAACTACCCGTTTCGAGGTTATTGAAACTGGTTTAAGCCATGGAACCGCTCGCGATACAACAAGCAGTTGCTGACGTTGTTGGCACGATTACCACTTTTGATCTGTGGGGCATGCTGTGAACGAGCATTCACCAAACAACACCCATGCAGCACCCAACCAATAATGGTCAAAAGCTAAACGGTATACTACTTACGGTAGAGTTCGCTGTAAACTCAAATGAAATGCTTAACAAATCGGTTTCACTATGATGCAACACCTTTCGCACCGAGTGGCTAGAGTGATGGCGTTCGATCATCGATGAGTTATGGCAGATTATAAATGTCAACGGTGATCGATGGTTGTTTTGATAGCTACCTGTGCGAAGTGTTTCGTAACTTGACAATCAACGAGAAGGAGGTGTGATCACTGTAAAACTCGTTCTTTTCTGAGCTTACATTTGATTTGATTTCATAAAATGTTCGCGAGTCAGGAGTTTTCGTGAACTTCAATCAAAATGTAACACTGGTCTTTTTTTCTTTCCTTTATTTGTTTTCCGTCGATCTTGTTTTCCGTACTGAATAACAATGCTACTGATGCCAGGAAGGCAGCTCCTGGACCCTACCTATCAACTCATGAACCGGGTACCAACGACTCTACTTCCATCCCGAAAAAAGACATGATCAGAGATTTTATGCCTCAGAAAATCCCAACAGCGCCGACTGGGATTGAACCCAGGCCTTTTAAAGTGAGAGGCAGCAACGCTTACCACTACACCACCGACGCCGCTAACACTGGTCTTTGCACAATGTTCGGGTTGAATAACAGATTACACAGTATCAAAAACTAGATGCACTGTTGTTTTGAAGGAATTGCAAAAGTTAATCTAATTGGATATTTCATCGTTGAACATACTTTTATGTTCGAACTACCTTAATCTGCCAATAACGAAGCATCTTGACGCCTTAAATCTTCAAAATAACGTCTTCACGGAATGCAACGAAATTTTCAGAGACCGGATTTTGATTCCCGGTCCTATTAAACAAATTATCTGGTGGGAACCAAGGACATGACGCGTCAGCTCAAATGTAGCATCCCTGTTGTAATTTAACGTTTTGTGGCACGTAGTCCCGTGCAGTGTTGCCAAAGATATGGTTTTGTTTAAAAAAAAAAACTTCTTTTTGTTGCACAATTATTTTAAATGCGAGATGGGCATCAATAGTATTTTCAGATAGAGTTGTGGATGTGCTAACAAGAATAGAGTTGATAAAAGTGAACCCGTGCCAAAATCGGTCCCCATTTTTAATTTGATATTATTTAATCTATTCGAAAATTTGAAATCTCGTACGTCCTCCACAAGAAATTTTATGATAATTCAAAGGATCATCAGGAAATCATCGTAGTTTTTTCATCAGCTATGAGTGGCTATTATGTGTAAAATTGTGATTTTTCCTCTGTTGTCATGTGTGTACATAAGATTAATTTTCTTACTGATATGCATAATTTTACTTGAAACAACGTATCAATTACCGTTTAAGCTTTATCAGTTGCTGGAGTAGACGGAGAATCTCCCTTCGTAAACGTACTTCTATTGGTTTTGAATCGTTTTCTTGATTCGCTATCTGCCCTACATTGTTCTCAACCAGTGCTGTTAAAAATCATTTCTTCTTCACTAAACTTAGTTGAAAAAGAAGACAACCTTAACAGATAGACCAGCTACTTGCATGAATCTGAATTTTGACATACCAACATTCTCTTGATCGAGGAGTTAAAGGCAATGAAGAATCCGTCTCCTGCATGGCTTTTTTGCGACAGGATGATTCACCTAAAGTGCGGGTGCAGTTTCGAACGGATACGGTTGTGTTTTAAGTTTGTTCTCTATTTTGTGCGTGCGTTCGCTCTCATAGTTTTCGGCTGCAATTGCCGGATTATCGCTGGCGCTCTACCTCCCGGACGTTTATACGTGTGTGATTGGTAGTTTTCTCGCTTTCCGGGAGGTTTTAGAATAGAGCAAGAAAACGTGATTCAACATGTTTGCAAGCATCAGAAGAGATGTTGCGATCTGCGTTGTTTAATTTTCTCCCGGACCAGAAATTAGTGGCATCGCGAGTGATAATTTTTAATTTCAGTTTATTTACGCGCTGCAAGGTGCGTGAAAGAGCTCGGCACAATCGATGTTGATGTTGGCTCGCTTGTAACTTTTTTTGTTGTGTTTTTGAAAGAAATTGATCGAAATTGTACCAAAAGTGCTTTTGAACGTGTTTCGCAGTTGGGTGTGGTGAAATTCGTGAATTCGCGGTTTATGTTCAGTGAAAATTCCGTGTCACAAAATTGCTCACCGAGTTTCCTTTTGTTGCCGTTCGACGACGACGGGTTTGCGAGAGAAAAATAAGCATCGGGAATTTGCTCCCGGATGTATTGATTTGGTGAGTATACACTAATCGAGTCAGTACGGTTTTACCGAGTTTTTGAATTGCGGAACTGTTCGGTAAAAGTTTAAAAATCTGTGGAAAATTTATTAATGAGAATTTTGTTCTGAACTTGTACATACATAGTTCTGTTAACCCCATTTAATGGTAGAAAATAAAATTGGTCGATTTCATTTATTCCTTACGGATAACGGTGATTTGAATTTTTACCGACTTTTTCAGTAATTCAAAAACCCAGTAAAAAAATACTGACTCCTGTAAAAAAATCTTAGTGTGTACGTTCCAGTTGAAGATTGTTCTAATACATATCTCGATTGCATTTTCGAGGGGACGTTCGGAGAGCTTTGAGATTTGGGCCTTGTTGCATTTGCGGGCAGATGAGTTGGTCGCCGGTAAGGGCCAGTAAGTGCTGCCAGCAGATGAATCAAGAGGTATTCGAAACAAAATTGATAAGAAATGTCCATTCAAATCGATTTAATACAGTTGAACAAATTTCAAAACTATATACGTGCCAGATTTGGAAATAATATTTTTTGAATCTGGAACTGTGTTTATGATACCATTATCCATTTAATAAAGGTAGAGTGAACATGCAGGGCTTATTGTCAGTAAAAGTGACCTCGGAGTGGTCGTGAATTACCAGGCATTCTGAAATGGGTCACTGGAGCTGCAATAGAGCTAACACCTTCTAACTCCCGGACTAAACCTGCTTTAATTTAAGGGTAATAAAAAGCAGTTTTCTTCCATAATAACACTGCCGGACAGTCGGGGTTAGATTGTACACACACACACACACACACCAACATTCTCTTGATCGAGGCAACCTCTGAGTATCGTAGTCAACATTTGTTTTTCTTCATTCGTGTCTGGATGTTCATAATCGCCTCCGTTGTTGTCAATATTAATAATCGTCTTGGTGGGGATGATTTTGAGGATCGCTGAAGGACGTGTCATGTTAGTTTTTACACACAAACCAACCAATAAAGTCTTGGTTTTAGGCTCTCGAGTCGACAATATTCAAAATAATCATTTTGCCCAAAATGAATTTGATTATTTTGATTTTGAGGATCATTTCTGATTTTGAGATTTTTGGGTTGGATAATCAAGCACTGGAGAATGTCAACAAACGCGTATTCGTTGATGTATAATGAACTCATTAGTTAATTAAGCTAGTACGTAACAGCAAAGATGTTCAAAACAAACGCAATTCATCTACAGTGGATTGAAGCGCTACTCCTTGCGTGTGATGATCAGTGCTGTGCAATTTCGACAATACACGGTGATACTCAAAATTCTGCTTCTTCTCTTCTTCCTCTTTTATTTCTATCTCTATCTCTATCTTAATCTATCTCTATCTCTATCTTACGCACATGAAATCGGCCAATCAGGAGCTGGTTCACGTTTGACAGAAAAGTGGTTCATTTTCGCCCCCGTATTGTCACCTCTTCTCTTAGGGTCACTCGTTTGAGCTAACAGTCATCGTCAAGGCAAACCATGTCAATTGTCAGTGGCATTTTTGTCAGTGACGAACATGTGCTGATTTGTTTATTAGCTAAATTTAAAATGAAATTAAATGGCTTGAGGAAAACAATTACATGGAGCCATTAAAGTGAACAAGCATCTACGTTCTGAACAGCTTTGAAAACAATAATGTGACTCAGAATGCAAGAAATTACCCTTTCTGTTACCAGGTGAATCTTTGGCATTGACGAAAAAATGAATGAGATTTTGACAAAGATTTTTTTGAGGATCAAGTCTATCATTGACTATGTGAAAAACAATTTTGTCAATATCGCGCAAAAGGCTTTCAATGACAATGACAAATCTCAGCACTGGTGATGATACAAGATAAAAAACAGGCACTGTTCTCAAATGGTTCCATATTCACTGTTCGTCTAGCCATTCAACAATCACCGTGGTGTTCCACGTTTTATTCGGATTTATTTTTCCGTTCGAGAAATTGA